AGTTAAATAAAGTTCAAATAAATAATAAATAAATAGGCTAAATATACAAAATTTCCCATTGCAGAATTCATCATGATCATGCAATCATTTCTGTTTTATGCATACGCATGCATATTTTCTTTCTGTAGCTCCAAATCCATGCTTGAACAGCGGATGTAGCCACCTGTGCCTAATAGTTCCATTCGATAGCGGTGTCTATAATTTCAGTGGTTACCAATGTAGGTGTGGAGAGGACTATGGATCAACCGATGGATATACCTGCCTGCAAGGTACATAACGAGACAAAATAACAACAAAATAACAGAACAAAAGTAGTCATAATTACATTGATTTTAGACTTTGGTAATTAAAGTCAGTTTTTAAATTATTACTAAAATAATATGAATAGGAGTGCATGTCATGTACGTATCTTTACCTACACTATGAAAGACCACAACGGTTTAGGGATGTAATAACTAAGTTAATTGTACGTGAGTAAAAAATATTGTTTAAAAAGAAGAGCAGAATATTGTTGTTAATTATTCAACAATAATGTTGATATTATTTATTGTTTGACTTGTTATTATTATTAAACTATTGTTTTGCAAAAATATATAAATATATTTCTGATCAATAATGCAAGAGAAAAAAGAAAAACAGTTTCAATAAGTTGCACATACATTAAAACTAACTATAAATAAATAATAACTTTCAATGGTGTCACTTTAAATATCTCAGGGTCAAAAATTGCTTGTTTGCGGCAAGTTGCATAAGGTTTTAAGTTTTTTTTTAAATTTTAGATTATGCTTACTTAAATCGTTTTGTTAACGATTTAAATATTCAAATACATTATTTGAGTAATTATTATTAACAATAACATTATCATTATTATCATCAATAATGTCATTATATGTATTCATTAACGAATTTAGAATCGAATTTCTAAATGAAGCAAAATATTATACCCTCACCATTATTATTCATATCTAGAGTTACCTAATAAATCATGTTTAATCGATAAGCAGGTCACTTAATTATCATCAATATAATGATCCATTTACAGTATTATAATATTTTACTTCTTTCTTTTAGGAGTCAGCGAATGTGATTCCAACCCCTGTCAGAATGATGGAACATGCTCCAGAACCACCACTGGCGGATACTCTTGCTTATGCCCGTTTGATTTTGATGGCAAAAATTGTGAAAATGGTAAAGTTTATTTGAATTTTTATACTGTAAAAGCATGTGTAAATCAGTGTTTCTTTCAATAAATGAAAGCCATAACCGGATTTTTTTTAAACATTATGCGATGTAAAGCCAGCCAGATCGGTCTCTCAATTGTGTATGGTTTTCCAACATCTGAGACAGTGTCTCAGGTGATATCTTAAGCTCTTTCCAGACTAGACAAAAAAAAACCTGTTGTCATGATGTGTCTATATATAAAATCAATGTGTGATGTTTCGTGACCATAATTAGGCATGTCACATGTCTTTGCCAAGCATAATTCTATAGTCTAGACAGGGCTTAAGGCATATTACATTCATTTTTTTTTTTTATATTTTACATTCTGGGGTTGGTGAAGTAGATGGTGCGGTCAAAAACTATAGTATAATTATGTTAATTATAATAATTAATCTAATAATGTTAATTTATATTTTTGTCATTTAGGAAAAGAAAACAAATTTCTTAGATTTTAGCCGTTGTAATTGGTATATATATTATTAAAAATTATTAAAATGTTGCTTAGATTTATATTAATAAATTCTTCATAAAAACATTAAAATTTCAATCTCATAAAACCAACAATATACAACGTTGTTCCCCTATTATGATTTTGTGGTATTTCAATCTTATTGTTTTCCATCTTTATAGCAATCGACAACTGTTTTTCAAATCCGTGTATTAATGGAGGATTATGTCAAAATACTAACACAGGCTTCAGGTGCCTTTGCCTAAGGTCATACACTGGTGAACGTTGTGAAACAGGTATTTAAATTTATTTACATAGTGCAAAAATGGTATTACAATAGATAATAACTGCTGATGACCTAAGCGCCCATTTGTAACTCTGTTTGGCACTTCAGTTTTCTCTCCTTATTATGTAACCTAAGTAAACAGTATACTTGAACGAATAAAACTTGTAAATTTACTACAGTTCAAGACGCTTTAGCTACATAATTATAGTTAAGTACGAATAGCATTTTCTTGTATAGTCGCGCCTTTCCCATATGAAAGCGCCCTTCTGAAGACATGACTCACGTTATACAATAATCAGCCGTTGTAATTGGTAGTATTTTATACTTTGTTGCTTTATGTTTTACAGAAGCTGATTTGTGTAGGCCTGCCACCAACCCCTGTCTAAATAACGGAACATGCATTCGTACCGCAACCCGCTACAGATGTATATGTGCCCCTGGTTATTTTGGCTTTATTTGTCGAAATTGTACGTACACTATATTTTAATTATATTATATAACTTTATGAGTAATTATTTAAAATTCTGTGTATGGATAAGTTAATTGAAAGCACCACTAAAAACTAAAACCTCCCATAAATTTCTGTTTTTTTTTTTAAATTTTACTACAAAATAAATGAAAGATGAGGAGTACATTAGTAAATATTCTACATATTAAGCATCATATACATAATATACCAATTATGACACATTTGGCATAGGTCCTGTAAATTCTTATTGGTATAAATTTAAATATTTTGGCAGTGAATTGTGAAAATCATAGAAACCTAATAGTTGTACTTGAAGAATGTAAATAATATGCTTGGAAAATCATAAATGATGTTGGTCATCCACTTTATATCGTCTATGTCACAACAAAATCCGGAAAACTAAGGCCAATCCGGTGTAAGACCAAGCGATGTAGACAGTCTTTAACTTTCAACTCCATCCAAATAGCCAGTGATAATTTTAAAAGATAACTTTCCATTGTAAAAACATCACGAGGCGTTTAATAAAACAAACAACCGTTTTTAATCGTGAACCTGATCGCGGGCTCAGTGCCCGATCGTGTGGCAATAGCAGACATGTTTCGACTAATATACTCATCATCAGTGCGAACATAACACATTTTTCCAGAACTAATATAGTAGTGACTGATGAAGCAAAACCTTCAACGCAAACACCAAGTGTCTGCTACTACTAAACGATCGGACTCACTATTGAGCCTGCAATCAGGTTCACGATTAAAGATAATTTTATTATTATTATTATTATTATTATTATTATTATTATTATTATTATTATTATTATTATGCCTCGTGGTGTTTTTACTTATTCAAAATTGTGGTGGCATTATTCGTGAAATTTTCATTGTATTTTTATTATTAACTAGGATAAATTTTATATGTATGCCATTACTTTGTAAAGTATTTTTTATATATATTTTTCATTATAATTTCTACATAGGCCTATTTAACGTTTTTCATTGTGGCTTTTGTACCGTATTAACTTTTGGAATTGCATCAACCCCTTATGTTTACATGTTTGAATTATGGCAATAAAATGCATCTTATCTTATCTTAAAGCACGTTAGCGATTCAATAGTTTCAATATTGTATTTAGTTTTCTTTTCTCAGTTTACCACAAATAATTGTTTTTTGAATATCTTTAAATAACAATCTCAATGTGCAAAATATTTGAAGTTTCTAATTTTTTTTTATACAGTTACTGGTTCCACCCCAGGTAAGAACAAGTACTTACCACCGCCTTTATAACGATCATCAGATCATCACCGTCCTCATTAATATAACCACTATTATCTTTGTTGTAACCATTGTTATCATTACCTTTAGCATGTATATTATTGCATTTATAAGGGTTACCAAACCTAATATCAATATTTTTTTTTCCATTGTATATGTAAGCGTGTATAAGTATTGTATCATAAGTATTTTAATTCGCTGTTAATTATTAGGCCTATCATTGAGCACTCTGCTGAAGATATTTGCAAATCGCTCAACCCTTTTAATTGTTGTTATATAAATATATAAGTTCGATGTTTTTATTTTAATTATCATTCTGTAATCATAGGATCGACAATGAAACCAATGCTTACAACTAACACTAAAGGGAACACAAACACAAATAAAAATAACGAAAATAGTGGTAAGTGGTTATCAATTTTAAACTAATATTCTGCATACATAAACATGTTATTATTGTAATATAGCAAATACCAGATTGAAATATTCATTTTGACTAAATAGTTTTTTTCAGTTCATTTTCATATTAAATAGTCTTCTCCTTCAGAAAGTATTATTAAGACAATTTTTCTCTCTAGATTTCATTATTGTGAAATTACAATCCTAAAAGAGCCTTTGGATACGATAATTCTGTACATAGGGAATTCCTAAACCATGTCCCAGCTGTTGTTTTTAATCAAGATATAATTTTTCAAAGTAACCTAGGCTGCTAGAAACTATCAATAGAAATGTAAATCCCTCCTCCCCTCAAAATAAATCTTTTAGAAAGCTATTAACTAAACTGCAAGAAACAATTAGCAATGAAACGCATCCTCTACATAATGAAATACAAATAAACATATCAAGAAGATTTAAACAACTTAAAGTAATTAGAACAAACCGACTTAAAACTTCTTTTCTCTCAAGTGCAATAAGTCTCTATAGTACATTCAGTTGGTAAAGTTTTTAATGTACAAATACAAGACAGTACTTTAGTTACATTGTTTTTTTTAAATATTTTCATTCAGTTTGACAGAAATATCAGATTATGTTGTATTCAATTCAATTGCATATATTTTTCTTTTATGCCTTTTCAGATGTGGTTCCAATCCTTGCAACTTTTCTTGTACTGGCTGCAGTTGTCATCCTTGTCTGCTGCTTCCTTCTCTTAATGTCAATGCGAAAACAGTATGTGTATTGTAAAAGTTATATTTCTAAGATATATGCTGAAGTTAACTCACTTTTTTGTCCTAACATTATATTAATATATGGTGATGCTGATGATAATGGTTTAATATGAGGATGGTGGTAGTGGTGGTGGTGGTAATGATGATAATGACGATGATGCAGATTATGTCGATAGTAATAATGATTTTAAGGCTAATGATGTTGGTGATGATAACGACGATGATGCAAATTATAACGACGATATCGATGGTGAAGATGATGTCGATGGTAATGATGTGGATGATTCTGATGCTGATTATTGTGGTGATTCTGATGATAACGATGACGACGACGATGATGATAGTGGTGATGGTGGTGATGATGATGATAATGATGATGATGATGATGATGATGATGATGATGATGATGATGATGATGATGATGATGATGATGATGATGTAGATGTTTCGGATGATTTGGCAGATTCTGATGGTTACTGATTTGGTGGTGGTGAAAATGCTGATGGCTATTAAAAAAAAATAACGATGATGATAATGATGATGATGATGATGATGATGATGATGATGATGATGATGATGATGATGATGGTGATGATGCGATGATGCGATATCGTCTAAACTGATGTTTTTTTAGGTTATTTATAATATAGTTTTTCTTGTACTACATTGCAGGAAGAAACTGAACATGACACCTGCTGTGAGCTACAGGATGGGTAGCGATCAACTGACACTAGATACAGTGGTAAGTGTCTACGTGAATTTATTTTTTTTTATAGTATTCCTAAGATCCTGTATTTCCAGTTCCAGTGCTTAAATTGAGAGAGCGTACATGTATCAAAGTTGATTTCTCTTCTGCATGAATGATTTCTAAATTAGAGCTGCTCTGTACAGTATGTGATCAAAAGGAAGTTGCTTCTGATCAGATTTGATTTCGTAGAAAACGTCAGTAGCTACTCAGTAGTATTTAAGGCATCTACATTATAAAAGCAAGAGAACTGAGCTTTTTACTCTTGCCAATTTTCTCTTAAATAGTAGTATTTATTACATATAGGCATACACGCACACACACACCCCACCCACCCACACACACACACACATATATAATATGTATATATATACATATATATATATATATATAATATATATATATATATGTGTGTGTGTGTATATGTATATGTATATGTATATAAATTGAAAGACAAAATACTGTAAAAACAGCAATGCAGTGGGAAACAATGGCTGCATCTCGGTAGAAATACAAAATTGATTAGTAAAAGCTAGTTAAATATAGACGTATAAGATAATTGGGAAAAGTAGAACCAGAGCTTTCGGACAAAATGTGTCCTGGTTTAGTGGCGAGTATATGTGTATGTACATGATCAAAAACAGGGAAGTAATTTTTCCCTCAAAAATGTAAATATAATAAAACTAATAATTGTATATAAAATAATGTAATTTCAATTAAATTAACAGATATATTTTTTCAAACTGCAAAGACATGGAAGTATTTTTCTCTTCAATAATATAAATACTGCATAATACAATTTTAATTGTTTACATAATAATGTAATTTTAATTAAATTAATAGGCCCTAAATGTATTTTTCTGTTCTGTTCTATTTTTTAACTACATTTTTAAAGAAACGTTTGGATACTGTATTTTGGCTTAAATTTCGAGTAACCGCTACTCATATATTTTTATACAATTGTGTCCGTCCTGTAACCATGTTTTTTAAATAAATGTCCGTCTTTGTCTCTCTTGCATGGACGAGTCTAGGGCTTCTTGTTCCTTTATCTATTCGTTTTTCTTGATCTTTTGATACTTTTTGACTCTGTATGTTCTTTTTATGAATCTGAATAAGGTGATGATTAAATAAATATGCCTCCGCCTATTGATAACACCAAACACATTAAATGGATTACATTTAATAAACTGCTATACGGTATATTGTAATCACTTTAAAGATTTGAAGACGTTACTGGTACGTCGTTAAGGTTATAAAGTTTATGACTGATATACAAATACCGATTCATTACAGATACTTCTTTTTCTTATAGCCAATTAGTAATGATGCAGAGAATATTGGAGTAGAAAATCCAACTTTTATGGTAACTGGTGGAGCTGTTAGTACCGAGGTTGATGATGATATCAAGAAGGTTCCAATTGATGATCTAGAGGAATATGTCGGCATACCACCTCTTAAAGCTACAGAACCGGAGAAGTTTCCTCCTTCTTATTCTTAGTTTGTGATATTTAATATCGAAATGTCTGAAAAGGGTTTATATGAATTATCAAATTGCAGTGAAGTAAACAAAAATCTTTTTTTAAGGGTCTCAGTTAACTAACACAATACTAAAACCGGAAATACTACGACGTATAGATTGTAAATTTCCGAACTCTATGTCAAATTTTTCTATCGTTAAAGTAGTCTAATTATACGATTTGATATTAATAAATGGTGATTGAGCATTCATGGATCAAAAATTTACAACTATATAAATGTTGGAAATATTAAGTAACAGTTGAACAAACAAAATACTGCATATAATTATAAGATAGGCTAAATGTAAAGGTAGAAGAATGATTTATAACTTGCAAAGTCATTGTGTCGAAATGCCGTAAAGAGGCGCTTCAGTTACCTCATGTTCACATCATTCCATAACGACAGGGGCTGAAATAAACCATTTATAATGGTGCCCACCTCTTCTCCCTACTCTTCCGAAAGATGCACGCAAGCCACATGTGTACACTTGACCTCCTTGATTCCACCACCCGAACCCTGGGCGAGGTGGATATCAATCGGTAGCATCCCCACATAGTTTCCGATTCAACAATTTGAGAACTAGGTGCCTATTGGTTCTATACATTATTATTTATTCTAGTATTTTGGGATTCATTGTTAATTATGTTATTTATAGACTTTTTAGCCAACAACTGATTTAGACGTCATGAGCAGTAAGTTAAAGAATTGCCTGCGGCAAAAGGTGGAAGGAGGATTATTTCATATAAATAATTGATTTTTAGGTAGGCCTATCGCATACTATTGTCATGAGAGTGTCACGTAATGTGAATGTATACAGTTGTGATCTCATTATTTCAGTTTGTACAAAACGTACAACACTCCATGTACAGTATACATAATACGCAGATGAAAAATAATAAAATAATCAAGTTTAAGTCTAAAATAAACAAATTAGTACCAAGAATATAGGCCTAGAATTGCAAGAGGTCCGACTACCATTATTTTGAAACGTTCTTTCTTATAGGTACCGGTACGTTCTTTTGAAAGACGCCCTCTAGTTTGTGGTAGTACAGTATATTTTGAGATTCGGACATCTAGCAGTTCTGTATTTGTTAGTATTCATCAGGGAACAGTGAACTCACTGTTTCCTGGTATTTATAATGTTAGTTCTTTCTTTGTAACAATCCAAATTCAGCTTACTTTACACATTATTTGTTAACATACTGATACGATGGAAAGGTATAATGAAAGTATCAATGGAGTCTTCAGCCAGCACAAAGGTGTGTAATTTACACAATCAGGCCCGTAACCAGTTTCCTACTGTAGTTATACTTTATCATAACATTGTTTATTAAATGAACACTTTTGAGTTAAACTTTGAGCATAGTTCGTCATTATTAGTTATTTAGTATAAATTTATTCGAAAAATTAATCTCAAAATCGAGTTGCCGTCCCCGGCATTGTCAGTAACGTCGTATATGATTTGTGTGCGATTTTACCAATTAACCCCTTAGTAAAAAATAGTTGAGCCATGTACTACCTTGCAAATCAACCCAGAAACCCGATAGTTTGTTGTTTATTGGTAGCGTCCCTTCGCTGCCAAAAATAGTTTTTTTGGCAGTTGCGTCCCCGGTGACATCGTGAGGGCATGGTGAAGGCTGGTTACGATTTGGTGGCACATCGTTTGAGTATTTCATTCATCTGGACATGTAAGTCAGTGTCGTATCTAGATGTCTTGAAATGGGGGGGACTAATGGCTAGGGTAGGGGGGGGGGCTGGTGATCAGTTGAGGGGCGCTAATTCGCAAAATAATGTGATTTTAGGTGATTTTTAACTAGGCCTACTTGACCATGAATTTTTGGGAAGGGGACGCGAGTCATTTTCGGGGGTAGGGGTGGGGGAGCAGATATGCCAATGATGTAAGTACAGATTCATGCTTATATTTTACACATTTTTATAACTTATGGTGATATAAATTTAATAATTAGACAAAGACCATGCAAGTCTACCCATACACTTAATTTAGTGTAGAAAACTAGATGACGTCGGTACAGTACGATGTTTCTTTAAAAAAAAATAACAATTACGATGAATATTCTCAGAATTCTAAAATGCACGGAACTATAATTAGTATATGAGCCATGTCATGTGTACATCGTGAACTCCAAGCGGTAAATTAGTACGTACTGTCCCGATTCAAGGAATGACGCCGGGACTGTATTAATAATAAATAATGGCTACGATGAATTTTCTCTAAATTGTCCGTACAGTTGCACCCTGACTTCTACTTAAAAGTCATTACTCTATGCTACTCTATTTTGTACATCCGACAGAAAGCTCAATATTTAAAAAAACATAACACTCGGATCAAGAAATAAATAATATCGAGAAGATAGGCCTATACAACTTTTGTAGTTTTAATTACATATCAGTTGATTTGCTATCAAAAATAATTTATTTTTTGCATTGCAAATTATTGTTATACTGTATATTACTAGTTATAATTCAACTTTAACTCATTCTTAGGTCAATTAAAATAAAATTATAAAGAATCTATGTCATCATTGTACGAAAACATGCCAAAAACCCATATTAAGAGCACAATTTAATATTTTTGTCTTAGTCTCCCCCTATATAGGGGACACTTTTTTTTTGGTCCCGAAAGTGTCCCCATAATAGGGGTTTCCGTTAATTGGACTACTTTTGGGTCTGCGTCACGGTTTCGAGCGGCAGTAGCCAATCATTTTCATTAAAATAAAGTATATATTTTAAAAAGTTAGATAAAAAGACAATTATTTGAATAGTCATGTAAAATAATTTTCAAATTATACAAATAATTATAAATTAAAATAAATTATAATTTGCGTATAAATGTAGGATGTTTTATTACAAAAATAATAGCTGCTGCAGCAAATATCGTATAGCGCCGCTCTGCGCTCAGAGATCAGTGGAAAAAAAGTTTACTATTAAAGAATGCTTGCCATCGAGGGGCTCTCTTGGTCTATCGGCGAGGATTAAAGAACTGCTTAAATATAGTAAATTATTACAGTATTATTTTATAATATGAAAAAAAAGATTAAATGAAATTAAACTATACATGAGGCCGCTAAATGTATTATACAATATTATACACAGGAACGCACATCATGTTAGACACAGAACGCACATCGCGTATGAAACAAAATGGCTTCTAAATTCTCAATGTCGCAACTCTTTCTATCTATGGCTCTGTTATTATTATTATTAGAGCGCCACCAGGCATTACTTAGCAACCCTGAGTTATCAAGTGACCCTTGTAAACATTGGCCATGGCTTGCTGACGGCATGGATGCGGACTGTGAAAAGGTGCTGTTGTTTGGCACTTTAATTTGACATTTTAATGTTTAAGACGTAGCAACACTCTATGTGGACGATATTTGCCAGCAATTAGTAGATTCGTTGGCTTTTCTGGTGTGACTGTCCGAATCTTTTTAAACAGACACAACAAGGCCTAGGCTAGGCCTGCCCTGCTGGATAGAGGTAAGTTTAATCAGTGGGTTACAGTTATAACAACTCCCTGGTTTAATCACAAGCAAGGCACTGCCTAGAAGGATAGCCACTAGGGCCTAGGCTAGACGTACGGCGGATCCTACTAAAAGACCACACGGATGCAAAAATAATTAAAATACTACCACGCGAGAGTAGAAAAATACCTAATAATCAATAAAAACCAACTTTTGAAGTGATGATAGTTGCAGAAGTTCCAATCATCCTGATTCGATCTGGAATCTCCCGAATTTTCATGCTATCTCCCAGTCTGCCGACTTCAAGTTCTCTTTAAAAATTAGGACTAGGCCTAGGCCCTAGGCTACGCTAGGCCTAGATATGTTGTACTTAAAGTACCACCACGAAATTTTAACATACGACCTGTAAAAAAACATGGGATTTGCACAGTAAAATAGATGATATTAATTACCTAGCTAGGCCTAGGCCACATTGAACTAAAAAACCATAGGTATCTTATAAATTACGTTTATTTATGACTCGGAAGACGTTACTGATTACAAAGAGTATAAAACCGCAAGAGGTCTTGCAGTTTTATACTCTTTGCTGATTATCAGAACATTTCGACATTGAGGGCGCTTTTCACTAATTGGTGGGAATCGGGGCGTCCTTCACCTAGAAATTCTCCCGTCTCCCTTTTTTTTTTTAGGTCTAGGCCTAGGTATTGGAATGTCTGTAGTTGTCTGAATTATGGTAAAAATTCACTATTTTTTACAGGTTTTGCCACCATGCTTCAGAAGGTATATGTGTTGACTTTGAGTATCTCTACAGTAGGCCTAACACATTGATGTCAGCAGAAATGCGTCCAACCATGACCTTTATATGTTACATTTCATTGAGATTTATTCTAAATTATACAACACATGTAGTCATATATTCCATTAATTTGATTGGTTGAAAACAGGTCACGTGAGATTGATTTAAAAAGGCTATTCCATGGTTTATTTGAGTACTACTTGTCAACGATCTTTGAATAATACTTTTTCATCTCCAAGACATTAAAAATTTTAAGTGTAAAGCGAACGAGAAAAATGATGTTAGTGCGTCTAGGCCACCCATGACGACGTTACAACCCGCGCGTCAACAAGGAGTTGGTCTTTCAGTACCCTCGTTCCACCGATATAATGGCAGATCCATTAGGTACTGGGCTATTTGTAATTTTGAGCGAAGAAGGTTGGGAGGAATTACTGAAAGAAAGTGATGATGAATCAACTATAAAAGGCAATAAAATATGCAGTTAACCATATGGAGTATTGCACTAGCTTCAGTGGTGAGGATGATTCTATTTTATTAGTTGAACTTCCTCGATTCCTAGGCTATGCCAGTTTTATGTGCTCGCCTTGGAAAGGATGATGGGCCCTTGAAATGCATTTGAAGAAGCATGAAGGAGATGTATATAAAAGGAGGTGTTGTATAAAACAAATAATGAATGTTTCTCATTCGTACAATGTGGTAGAATGTTTCATGAGGTGAAAGATTGGATGTTTTAGTCAACTCGGCTACACCTCGTTGAATAGAACATACAATCTTTCGCCTCATGAAATATTCTACCCCATTGTACTCATACACATTCATTTTTTGTATATTTAGGGCACAACACATGAAGACTAGTGAACTTAAAACTTACTACTGTATTATGTTATAGATATTCAAAATTGTACTATTTATTATTGTTATCATTATTACATATTTAATATTATTATAATATTGTAATGTAATAGGCCTTATCTATTAAAATGATGTGTATTATAAAAATTGAAATTTTAAAATATACAGTTCTTATGAAATAAGATTGAAATAAATGTGGGAAGAGAAAAAGTGTTAGTATTTAGGGTTTTTTTTGTTTTTTTGTTTTTTTTTGTTTTGTAATATATATTGAGTAAAGGAGATTGCATTAATATAAAATATATTATAAATGAATAGATTCAGGAAGACCAATTTATTCGAATTCATGAATTAGATTCCATTGGGTTTACGAGTACAATAAAAGAAAATGAGATTTAATATTAAAAAATATATTTATTTATACATTTTTATTTTTAACACATTTTCATCAAATATCTACTGACTTCGGGATAACTCACTTTATTATCATTGTATGTAGATAAATTTGTTGATTGCTTCCTGAACCACTGTAGGCCTAACTATGATACAGTACTATATATTTATAGCTTATTGACATACATCAGCCTGTCCAGGTACATAAACCATTACTGTTGTTTTATCAAGTATACGCCCTAGTGTTTATGCCAATTAATATTACAAACTATGCAAGATATCACAATGAAGAAGGAGGTAGGGACGATTAAATGTTCGAGAAGAAATAAATATATTTTTGTTCCCGAAAGGCGTCAACTCTAGTTTTCTGTCACTTGTGATTAGTCTCCATTTTTTTATAATATAATTTAAATAAATAAGGTCTATTACAAAATGATATTATGAGTAATGATTATGTGATATGATAACAATATAGTAGAAGTTTGTATACAGTAATTACTATAACATGTACAGTAGTAATTATTATTATTATCATTATTATTATTATTATCATTATTAGCCATTTTTTGACATAATATTTGGCTACCAGTGAATATCATGGTATTACATGTATATCTTCAGGTCATTTATAATCTTATAAATTATAAGTTTATTTTCTATGATAATTTTGTCCTCATAATTCATGTTTTCTATGTTATGTAATGTAATGTAATGTTATGTTATGGTTTATAAATAATATAAAATAATAATAATAATAATAATAACAGTGCTCGAAAAATACTTTAATAATGAATTAATAATACTTTCATAGGCCTATTTACGATAGTTTGATTAATGAGATATTTGTTGATCATAATTTATAAAAATATGTACACTAGGTAAAATCTATGTAAAATCTGTTTTTTAAATAAAAATGTTATCTGTTTTTAAAAATAATCTTATAAATTATAAGTTTTATTGTAAATTCTATGATAATTTAATCCACATAATTTATGTTTTCAATTATTTACTTAAGCATTTAAACAATTCAGTAGGCCTACGCTGAATGAATGTAAATGTAAGAAATAAACAAAACATCGCCAATGTGCACAAATACAGCGTGTTTTTGATAAGTAGATCACAGGAGGGTTCGCACAGGGTGACAAGTATCTGTCAAAATAATTCAACGGATATTCGTCAGCTCGTGTTATGTATAGAAAATAAGTACTTAAACGGAGAAAACGCTTATATTTAATTATTGTGTTCAGGCGTTCTGTAGTTTGCAAAAATTCCTACAAGTGTATCTCTTAATTTTATTCTAATCAGCTATTTTTTCACAACCAAATATCTCTATAAGTAAAATAAAGATTCCCTAGTTGTGGTTATTTGTATTGAATGTCATTTTGATTATGCTAATTAAGTAAAAAAAATTAGATCATTTTTTACATCAGCCGCTTGAGGGCATGATTTGTTTACATCGCCAATTGTAATGTGATGGACATAGGTGCACCTATTTTTCACAGTGTGACTGATCAACATGGATTTTTGATGGTACCCTCAGCGTCAAAATATCACGGTAAATGACCCAACTGTGAAGCACCTTTCCTGGGGGTCGTATGCAACATCTTCATGGATACGGTATTCTTGCATAAATTTGTGGCCCGGTAATGCCTGTGGCTAACTGGCTTAGCAGGGAGACAATTAAAATAGTGGGCCTATACTATATAGACCTAGATAAAGAATTAAGCTGGATTTACACTAGACACGATAATGACACGACAACGACATATCATCGTGTAGTTTGTATTCTTTAACACTATGCGCAGCTGTATTATTTCCGTCGTGTCGTAATCGTGTCTAGTATAAATGTAGCTGTACCATGAAATCATTCAAAATTAGACGGGTTTGTGGATTTCTTTTTTTGCCCACCTGTGCGTGGTGCAGACATTTGAAACTGGGGAGTATATAGTACATACGCTTGACAATATTTTTTCTCCTAGCAGATCCATCATGTTGGACCAGATGTTCCAACCAACAGATTCTGTTGGCCTGAGTATACGACCAGCTTCATCTGGAGTGTTTTTTACACCACGTGAGATCCTTAAAACAGCTCAGAGTATGCGACGACCCAGTAACCAGAAGTCATTACCTGACCAAGTCAGTAGAAGCTGGTCTGCAGGTGAACAATTTCATGTTTTGTTCTTAGTATATAGAGAATATTTTTATACTCTGTCCACAGGTTTTTTGTGATTATGCCATTATCACACATTATGGGCATGATAATTTCATATCACACCCATTATGAGGGCAAGTCACAGGTACTTATCACAGAGTTTAATGGATTATTGAACTTCATTTACAAATTTAATTGTGTTTTAGCACTAGTTATACTATTAAATTTAAGTGTCAATATATTCAGCTCTTTTCTGTGGGTAATGTATATTAGTACTTCAGTCCCATTACCTGCAAATTATTATTATTTTTGATTTATTTATTTTCATTTCACTAAATACACAATTTTCAGAAAAATATGCAAATGCAGTACTCTAATTATTATAAACCAGGTAATTTATGAGCATAATTTTTAGTTTAGAATTTAGAGACTTATTATCATTAGAGATTATATCATTACTTGGCAAATTCAGAGGTTGTAAAATGCATCCGCTGGCATGCTCGTGAGAACCAGCTGCTTTTACTTAATACAGTCAAGCGTCCAAAGTAGGTAGGGTAATTGTTTCATGAACCCGCCGCATTCTTCTTTGATAAAAACAACATTTATTGATTGAGTATGTTGTTTTTTTACCATTATTTGGTGGGGATTCCCATGGGCGTGGCATGCCCATTGGCTCAGTGCCACGCCCGCTGGCTTCCATTTTGGGCGGCCTAGATATCGTTTTTCTGGCTAAACCCCTGGTTTTTGGCTGCTATAAAAAAATGAATATTATATCAATGGTTACATTATAATTTTACCATTATTTTACATTGCATGTTACTTGAATCAACATTTTTTTGCATATGTAAAAGTGTACAAATTTGTCTACCCGCTCCCCCTGCTTACTGTTTGTACACTTGTGAAAATTGAATGTGTTGAACGGCCCCTAATTAAAAGCATTAATTAATCTGCTTTACTTAACTATTTACGGCACCAATACAATCTTGAGCAATAAATAAAGTGCGCCCTATCTGATGAGATTAGTTTTTTGTCTCGCACCTTGCACAATGCAGTCGATCGAGTAGGTCTGAATTTGTGTTTGTTTAATTGTCAAAATCTCAGTCGAAATCATTTTTGACAAGTTGAAAATAATTGAAATAAAATATTCTATTCCATAAGTGTGATACTACCATCAGAAAATATCACGTCAGCCGTTTTTATGTCTGATAACAGCCTGAAATCAACGTACTGTAAGCCTAGGCCTAGCCTAAGCTAATGTTTGGGCGCCAACTGTAGGTCTTCGCCATTAAACCTATCACAAACACGAAAAATCAAATTATAGTCTTGTTTTGCATTTTTTTTTATGTTTAGGAATGTCTAAATTCATATTTTTCTGAAAATGAAATTTTGCCGGATATGGAGCTTTAAATATTGTTGACAATATGTTACCAGCTCTAGCAAACCATCTGTTTGTAGGAAAAATTCAAAATTGTGTTTTTGGTGTTTTTAGAATCTGCATGAAATTCGTCTTTAAAACAGTGTTTTTGATGAAAATTGGTTGAGATAACAAAGTTATGAATATTTAATTTATTGGATATCAGCCTCGCATGGCAAGCCCATCAATCACGAGTTTGCTCATCGGCCTGACAGTCCAGTCTGCCGGCCAGAAATTGACACACCCCCTACACTGGCCTGTGGCCAATATGCTTGTCATGCACGGCCTAGCCAAACGAGGCTAGACGATCTGCTCAAGTTTGCTCTGTCTGTTTTGGCTAGAAAATATATAAATAACATTCTAAAATTTGCATCTTCCGATCAGCACGAAATTCGAGAATGTTTGTAACATTGTCAAAGTGTGAAAATTTTAAGTAAATCAGCCCACTATTTTTTTGAGTTACGCACCCGAATGTACACACACACACAGACAGACACACACATAGATAGATTATAGATATTGTAATACCCATTACCGGAGGCGAGGGTTCAGTATAAAATGAATAAACAATGTTATTCTTTCAGGATCGTCATCTCCTTCTACATTCTCTGTCAATGTGAATCTAAGCAGTATTGAAGTTGAGCAGCTTTTAAAAGATAAAGTTATACATCATTATCACAACCTTAAACAGGTGAAAGCTTACTGTTATTATTTTGGGTTGTATTATTTCTTTGTACATTTAAACAGTGTTTATACTTGCTAAATACTCAAAGATTAATCTAAAACGGTGTTGTTAGTAAAAACATTTGTAAAGAGTAAATTAATGAATAAACCCAATCCCAAGGTAAAAACAAGTTTTAGGCATGATCATATTTTTGATAGGATTAAACAGTGGATGATGCACAGTTAAAACACAGTATATAGAAGGATAATCCTTGAAAATCTGTTTTATTTTATTTTGTAGGCCTTTCAAAATTATGATATTGACCAGAGCATGACAATAACTCGAGGGGAGCTGCGAAGAGTACTTGACACCTTCTGCTTCCCTCTGACCACAGAACAGTTTGACAGCGTCATGGCAAAGGTGCCAGCAAATTCTAATGGCACCATCAATTATTGCGATTTCCTGGACCGATTCGCTGGAAGGTCAGATGGATCAAGAGAATCATGGAAGATGACATCTGGTCACAGGTAAAGGGTTAAATGTCAAATTTGTGTATGTTTTTTAAAGTTACTGTATGTATATACTTATATTTTGTAGTTAATTGTTTTCAACAATTTACATGTTTCAATAGCTCTACACAAGTATGTAGCCATATTATTTAAGCACTTTATCATTGCCCTCCCAATAATATAAGCTCTGCTCTCCCTGCCCAGTGCATATAGTCAATGTACCATAAAACTCCAATAGATACCCTGGGGTTTTTTTTCTTAGGATCATTAGATGGTTTCATTTCGAGATTACTTTAGCAAACTAAAGAGGGGGTCCATTTCAAAATGAATGCTGTAAATTTTGGAATTACTACTATACAACATTTTTCAACTAAGGAATTCAAAATTTAATTAATAGTTTTTTTTTTGTTTTTTTTTTTTTTAACCATGCTAGTACAATAAAATAATATAGATACTGACACGCTTTTATATGGCCAATGGGGCTTCTATTTGAGTTTTTACGGTATGTAGCCCTACCTATAGATGTAGACCTACTTATTGTAAATGTGATCTGAGGTGTACACATACCTCTACACATACAGTAAGCCCAGTCTGTATACTTTTCTTTTTTGATTTTTATAATCCTCAATAATTTCTTTTCAATTTTTAGGTATAGCTACACACAATCTCCACATGACATGGGTGTTGATGTACTAGAACGTCAGTTACGCGAGAGAATCGGAGCCAACATGAAAAATGTTGTCAGGGCGTTGCGATTATTTGACTACAACCGGGACGGCCGTATTCAAAAACATGAGATGCGAAAAGTTCTGGAGAATTACTGCTTACGTATGTCTGATGGTCAATTTGATAGGTATGTGTATATTGAGAGAAAATTGGCCTGTTGATCGGTATTGCGATACCAGGAGTGTGGTTTCATCCCTAGAAGCAAAGATTATTGTTTCTCACAAATCCTCACTAACACAAGAGCCTTATTAACTACTGTCAGTATGTACACAAATTTTTTTCAAACAAATTAATGATTGATCCACTTTTTGTTGTATCAGAAATATTTACATTTATTAGGATACTATTAAATGCCTATCACTCATGAGAAATAAATAATTACATGACCAAATGCAATTAAGATTGTGAATCTGACAGATGTAACATAATTTGAATGAGTTTAATCATTATTTATTGTTATATTTAATCATTTATGTAACTATTGTAATTGTTTTAGGTTATGGGCTCGGTATGACTTCCATCATTCAGGGATCGTCAACTACTATGAATTCTTAAAACGACTCGGAATCAATGTTGACAGACAAAGGAAGGTGATGCCAGAGGGAGCAAAGGTGGGACTTGGGTTCAATGAAAGGCAGAGCCTTCGTCAGAAGGACACAGAAAGATTGGCAGTGATCAACAGAACGGATGACATGGTGAAAGGAATGAATTTTAAACAGATTGAAGCAGAACTACGAAGAAGAGTAAGTCTTAAGCAGTGTTAAGGCGGGTACTCGCTACACCTGGCTGTCATCAGCCGACTCGATTCAATGCAGAATGCATCGCCATGACGCACGCGCACCGAATAATTTTTAATGACAATAAGTTCAGACTGCCTCTGACAATCAGCAGACGTGGTCGCGTAATCTACAGCTCACAGGAAGCAGAGTTGAATTCGTTGTATGCCTGTCGAGCAACACAGTGACTGCCGGGCTTTATTCTGAATTAACTTAAATCGAAATTGTATGGTCGTCAAAAAATACATTTTATTAATATTACTTTCAAATACACCTACAGAGAAATAACACATCTTTTGAAGTAAGACTTTATAAAAGAGCTCATGATTATTCATTCATTACTTTTGTTCTTTTCAGATGAAAGAGAACTATGTGAACCTTAAGAAAGCCTTCATGGCCTTTGATTCGAAGCAAGATGGTTACATAACTCTTGAAGACCTGAAATCTGTCCTCATTCATTTCACATTACCAATGTCTGACCAGCTTTTTTCACAGTTGATGGATAGGTAGGCATTATTTTTTCATTTATATGTATTGCATGGTCCTAGGTTCAAACTCACAAACATTTTAAATTGAGTTGTACCTTGGGTATAGGAAAAAAAGTTCTGCTATGTAGGCCTACCCATTCAAATATTGTAACCATGCTCTTATCTCATATAATGTTAACTCCAGTTGTGGACTGAAAGCATCGCACAAGGTTCCATGGGAGCATTTCCTAGAGAAATTCCAGCATCCAAGAATTGAAGGAAACGGACAAACATTACCCATAAAGTGTAATCACAAGTAAGTTAAAAGAACAGTCTACAGAATACCTTTTAAATAAAAGTAAATGAATAAATTTAATTTAACATAATTGGGTGCACTACCAGGCAAAAACAAATTTTATATTTATACAAAATCAATACCAACAGACAGAGGATTCCCAAAATAATTTCTTATTTGTGTACAATACATTTTCATACATATATACTCCTGTGAATTGCTTCCAGTTTTTTTGATACATTTGTGCCATCATTATGATCCATGTCAGCTATGTATTTTATTTGTGTATATACCTCCATGATGTATGTTTGTTTTATTTTTAACTCCTCCTCAGAGTGAATCCCATTCGAGAGGCAGAGTATGACGTGGACATGAAAGAACTACTGAAGATGTTGCACAAACATGTTACTAGCAGATACACTTCACTAAAAGATGCTTTCCTTGTCTTCGATTATGTAAGTTGATTATCTTTTCTTAAAATTCCTCTCCGTTTCTGGGCCAAATTTGTCAGTCGTCAGTCAGGGATTTAGGGCGGTGCTTTTAAAAGAAGCCATAAAAGCAACTTTTCAGTTTTGAATAATAAACACATTTTTTTTAATATTGTTTTAAAGAATCATGATGGAAAAGTTAGTAGGAAGGAATTCAAGAAGATTCTAGAAAAGTTTGCAATCCACCTGAATAGAGGTCAGGTGCAGGCTCTGATGAATTATCTTGATGCAGATTGCAAAAACTCCATTCAGTACCATCACTTCCTAGACCTCTTTGAAGTTAGAGAAACTGAGGTAAGTTCTTTGTTTTACTCGTACACTCCCTCACTTCTTACCACTAGAAAAAAAAAATTATAATCCGAAAATGATTACCTTAAACATTACAAGATAGTATAATTTTACATGTACTTGTTAGATATACCTTTTTGCCATAAATTCCATTTATTCAACCAAAAATATAATAAATTTAATGAAATTTAGTTTCATATTTTTGTTTTCTTAAATCTTAATTTCTTAAAAAAAAAAAAAAAGAACTATTTCATTCTGTTGTAGTATACAACAGTAATTCTGTATGAATTATTTCAATAATCATAACAAATGTACCATACTTTTGTATAAAATTTTAGCCACGAATACTTTATACTTGTGTATGAGATATTATTAATCATTAAAATGATATTACATTGATATATACCTGCATTTTAATGTATGTATAATAATTAAACATCTACTAATTATCAGGAAGGGCATAAATGGCTGAACTCAGCACACCGGTATAATAGTGAACCAGCACCGGCTACACTTGCATGGAGTACCGTGGAAGACCTCTTGAAGGAAAAAATAGTTGAATATTGGAAACCATTAAGTACAGCATTTAGGAGCATGGATCCGGATAAAACTGGTTGTATCACAAAACGGAATCTACGCAAGTTGTTGAACCGACATGTAATGGCACTGGCCAATGATCATCTTGACAGGTAAGAAATCGTGAAACATGAAATGAAGTTAGTAAAATAAGATTCTATAAAGCATTCTAATAGTTGGAAATGCTCATTATAGTAATGTTACAATTATATGTAATTCATTTCCATTATGATAACTTTGGCTTAGATAATTTATACTGATTTCAGGGGTACCAAGTCTTCCTGTAGATCGGGACAGCCTCCTGCAACCTGCAAGCAAGCAAAAATATTCTTGAAACTAACCTGTTTCTCACAAATTCATGATATTTGCTACTGTAATGTCAGTTGCCTCTCGGAAACCAGCTGGTGATGGGTGTCACCAATTCCAGCAAAATAAAAGTAGAATTGTTATGATTTGCTTTTAAACTTCCTGGAAATAATTTCTTCCAATTTGGTATAATCCCTGTGATATGTTCTATTCATGTACACTTCTATAAGTTTGTATATAGAATAGAATAGTGATTCCTGATGATGACATAATTAATGTCAAAATATTGAATCCCGACACAACGGCGTGCACTTCGATACTTGGAGTATGTATTATACTATCATAAGTTTGTCAATTCTGTAAAATCACATTTCAGTCTGTGGAACCAGTGTGAAGAGGGAAGTGATGGTAAGATTTATTTGGCACAGTTCTTGGATGTGCTTGGTGTTGATGCCTCACCAGGAGATGTCACAGGCACCAGTACACACATCCATGTTCTTAGTGACCTCAAGGAACAGCAGCGGCAAGCAGACTTGGATATGCGTCTCCAGCAAGTTCAAATGAACGCCCTTAACCAAACCAACCAGATGTCAGCAGATACCGTCATCTTAAAGTTAAAGGACCGAATGTCGCAGAAGTCATCACAGATGCGACAGAACTTTTTGCGGTATTGCAAAAACAAAAAAGGAAAACTGTACAAGAAGGAATTCAGAGAGGTTTGAAAATTTTACTATACATTGATGTGCAGTTTTTATATTTTTGATATATATTTGAACTGCAAATGATATTTTTGATATTGAATTTTTTCAATTTATTGTAAATAAAATTGTTTGTAAAATGATTATAATTTTAATTAATACTCAATTCAATTTGTTGTAAATGAAATTTTTTCGTAAATAACTATAATTTTAATTAATATTTAATATTTAAAATATTTTTATATATAATATTTAAATTATGTAATGAATAGATGCGTTACAATTTCTTTGCTTTTGTAATTTAATGTTTGTTGGTGTTGACATGTACGTGTTTATGCCAGATTCCAGAAACATTTCTGTTTATGTAATTTTATATGTGAATAGACCAATAAAGTTTATCTTATCTTATCTTATCTTATTCTGATAGTGATAGAACAAAACTAGTTGGTCTATAGAGTCAACATTTTTTTTAAATCACCTAATTGCAGATATGGTTTAGGGGTCCATCTCACAACAATTATCCTTACCTTCCACAAGACAAACTCTCTCAGGTTATCTATCCTTAGAGTGCTGCATGTCTGTACTGGTGAACATTCTTTTTCTTTTGTCGCTTTTGAAATTATAATTATATAAACTCTCTTCCACCTAAACTTAGATAAACTTCTGATACTAATGCCTATCTCTTTAATCAATTTTTCTTTTATCATTAAGCGCCAGCGAAAAATAATATTTTCTAACATGCGCCATACAAATTCTCAAATTTATTATTATACAATTTTTTTTTTAAATGCATAGAGCACAATTTGCATAGAGAAGAGTGGAAGAAGATGTCAATGATTCCAAAAATTCACCAGACCTGATAAACCAAATTTTTGTCTTTATTATAGGTGTTGGAAAGTTTTGGTATGTACATGTCAGATGAACAGTTTGACATTCTTTGTTCCCATATCGGTATTTCGAAAACCCCACTAACCTACACTGACTTCATAGAACATTTTGAAGATCTGCGTGTAGATGGACCTGGTGCAGAAATACAGCATACGTCAAACCACCGATACACCAACCTCCCGATACAGACAATGACTGCAGAGGAAGTTGGATCCAAGCTACTTAAAAAACTTAGGGAAGTTTATGGAGTAAGTGGAATGATATTTAGCAGTGGACATTAATAATTTTGTATATGACTTAATTATAGGACCCAGTACTTTATAATCATGTCTTCTTTTTTTTCCCTAAATCTACTTAATTTTTAAAAAGTGCGGACTTGGTATTCAAAACATTATAGCAAGGTGTGGTTCTGCAATTTTCAATAATTTCAATGGATTAGTCCATGCTGTCCATCACACTGCATATCTATACTCTTGTACATGTATGCCTTCCTGTCAATTTAGAATGTATGGAAGAATAATTCTGACTGCTATTATGCATCAGATGTCTCTAACTAATTTTTACTTATTATTGGTAGCAGTAGTACTGTGATTAGAAAAGTAATAGAAGGGAATATGGCAGAAGAGAAAACTTTTAAAAATTGTATTTCTGGTTCTCGCATTCAGTCGCGTAGAGACCTCTATATCATGTGATATACAAATCCTACTTTAGAGTATGTGTCTTTCAAGTTGGTTAATTTACTCTTTGTTTATTTTTTATATATAAACTTGAATATACACTTTAATAATTTCACAGAATTTAAGGGATGCCTTCTACAAATTGGACGATGACCATGATGGACAAATAGGCCGAGATGATTTTCGGCGAGTAATGGACTCCATGATGTTTGTAATATCTGATCAAGAATTCATAGCACTCATGTCTCGTCTTGGTATCAGCAGGCGAACTAAGCTCAACTATCGACAGTTCCTGGACAAATTTGAGGTGGTAGATACTGATGAAGGCCACAAATGGCTGGACTCGGATCATAGGTGAGTCATGAATGTTCAAAGAAATTCATCTGGTTTTTAAACTTCGCCCTCCAATTTGAGACCATGTTAGGGATCTGAAAATTGGTGTGATCTCAGATTTTGGTCTCCACATAGAGGGTTAATTTTGTGTTAATAGATTGTTATTTGGTTCTTTGAAAAAGTGGTCTCAAATTAGAGGGGTCTCAATTTGGAGGGTGCACTTTATATTTTAAGTAGTTAATCTGGGTAAACTAATTGATGTCTGCTTATGCAAGCTTTCAACATATTGACAACCTGACTTTATCAGGTTCAGTGAGCTGGTCGGTCAGGTTTTTAGAGGAACGTCGAATATGTGATGCTCTCTAAAACGAGGTATGGTTCTTTGTATGATGGTTGTCTGCAGCTCGCCATAGGCATTGGTCCCATGTTGGAAAAAATCCCTTCCAGGAGATCTGGTTTGAGTTTTCTTAATATATTTTATTTTGTTGTGTATGGTGATTGCCAATCGGCACTGACTTTCGTGATACAGTTGATATAAAACAGTAAACATGCAAATATCATGCTTGCATGCGGGAGTGCGGGAGGCCGTCCTGATTTTTGGGAGACTCCTGCGACTTCAAGGACGCCTGCGTAGTTGAGTCTTTGGGTCAAATTTAGTGTTAGTGTAAGTTATACCTTGCATTATGGTAACGTCTGTCAATGAATTGTGTGTAAAATTGTCAAATCAAATGCTCTCAACTTACATTTTAATTTTCAGATATAACAGCACTCTAGCACCAGCTAAAATGGCTGCAGATGAAGTGCATCAGATTTTGGTTGCTAAGGCGGAACGTCAGTACCAGGATCTAGCGAAAGCTTTCAGGTCCATTGATAAAAACAGCAATGGTGTCATCACACGAAAGGAACTCCGTGACCTGCTGTATACATTTATGATACCCATGACCAGAGAAGAGTTTGGCCTGCTTTGGAAAAGGTAAGACAAATCAACTTAAAAAATGGAAAACATTAATAGTGATGTAGATAGGAAGTGTGTATTGGTACAAAAGAAAGGGAGTTGAGTTTAGGAACTCAGGTTTCTCTGGTTTAAAATGTGCCAAT